CAAATTAATTTTCACAATTTTCGTACAGGGAGAGAGAGAGAGAGAGACGGAATCAACGGTGACGAGTATTTACCGTACGTCCAATTGCGATTGTCTTATTATTCTTGAAGCAATTCCGGCGGAGACATAAGTGACAATCAATCAAATCCACGAAGGAGAGCGCGGCTGTACAGTTGAGCCAAATACTGCGCCCACTAGTGATAAGCGAAAAGCTGTCTTCCAACCTTGCGAAGTCGCCATGGCTGGAGTTGGAATTTTGTAACCTTTCAACTTGCTAACCCCTGGAAAATGGAACGCGTACCGGGATAGCTTCGAGCTTTACCTCGTGGACAAGGACCGAAAGAAGGCGGCGTTTCTTACATTAGCGGGCGCACCCTTTTATGAGTTACTAGTGTCATTAGCATCACCCAGGTAAGTCAGTGATTTGCAATTAAAAGATGTGTATGATATATTAACCAGTCACGTGGCGCCCCGCCAATCGGAGATTGCTACATTCTACCATTTCCACAAGCGTGATCAACACCTTAACGATTTCGTCGGTAACTATATGGCCGCATTAAGAAGTTTGGCGGTAGGGTGCAATTTCGGACAAATGTTAGATCGCATGTAGCGGGACCGATTTGTGTGTGGCATGCGCGACGAAGGTCTCCAGCGAAGCCTGCAACGCCGAATTGACGGTGCAGTGGGCCATGGAACGAACCGTCACTAGTGAAGTAGCCGCCGCGAGTGCGTTGTCGATTTGGGGCGACAATGTCCGACGCCGCGAGTCTTCGAGCACCGAGTCCATCAACGGAATAAGTTCGAGTTGCACGGGTTGTGGGGGTCGGCACGTCTGAACGAAGTGTCCGTTCCGCAACGCCACTTGTTAATAATAATCCCGCCACGGTAATCCCGATCTCGTCAACTGCCACCTAAAGCTAAGCGACTATCAACGTAACCCAATTCTGGTCAAGGGAATCACCGACACGTCAATCCGCTACAACAATCGTCCTATCAATTACCTGCCACTGGTCGTCACGTCTGGCACCGGGTCAAACCTCCTTAGATGCAAATGGTTTCAACCCTTGGAATCCGCATAAAAGGCATTCATGGCGTGCAGCGTGCAATAGTAACGCGGAAATTCTAAGGAAATTTGTTTTCCTCAGAACTTGGTCGGCATACCAAGAAGTTCCGCCGGTCAGACTGCCACCGTGTCGAATTTCTTACTCACTCATTAAGCCATATGAAGAAGAGTTGGACCTTATCTGTGCTCAAGGAATACTTGGTTCCATTCGTATTTGTGGAGATTGTAAATATACGCTTAACAGAGCGGTACAACCGCATTGCCATTAAATTCCTGCAATAAACACGCTATACGCATCGATAGAAGGAGGCTCAATTTTCACAAAAATATATTTGGCCCAGGCTTATTAACAAATGGTAGTCGACGAAAAGTCAGTTTTGATGCAAACAATAGCTACCCGCAAAGGAAAATTTAAGGTAACAAGACTACAATTCGGGATTTCATCAGTCCCAGGAATATTCCAAAATTGCATTGAAAGAATGTTGCGGAACGATATTGTTATATTGGGTAAATCAGAATAAGAACCTGCGGGTAGACTAAGCAAAGTTCTAGCACCAGGACCGGTCAGGATGACGTCTCAAAATTACGTCTCAGACAAGTGTCAAATTGGGGTCTCATCCATCGAAATTCTTGGATTCAAAGTTGACGCTCTCGGCATTAGGCCATCAGCCGACAAGGTAAGAGCCATCCATGAGGCGCCACCGCCAAAAGAAAAAAAAACAGTTGCAAGCGTTTCTAGGACTGACCAATTTTTATACCCTTGCAGAGGGTATTATAATTTTGGTCAAAAGTGTGCAACGCAGTGAAGGAGACATCTCCGACCCTATAAAGTATATATATTCTTGATCAGGATCACCTCCTGAGTTGATATGAGCATGTCCGTCTGTCCGTCTGTCTGTCCGTCTGTCTGTCCGTCTCTCTGTCCTTCTGTCTGTCCGTCTGTCTGTCTGTCCGTTTCTACGCGAACTAGTCTCTCAGTTTAAAAGCTATCGTCTTGAAACTTTGCACACACCCTTCTTTCCTTTGCACGCAGTAAGTTGGAACGGCTCGGATCGGCCGACTATATCCTATAGCTGCCATATAACTGATTGATCGTAAATGGTATAACTTTGGTGTTTTTAGAGATAGAGACTTCAAATTTGATATAAGAGCTATTTTTGGCAAAACATTACGACATGCCAAATTTTTATTAGGATCGGCCGACTATACCTTATAGCTGCCATATAGCTGAACGATCGGAAATGACACAACTTTCGTGTTTTTGAAGATAGAAAGCTGAAACTTAGTACATATTCTATTTTTGGCTAATCCAACCTGCCAAATTTCATTAGAATCGGCCGACTATATCTTATAGCTGCCATAGAACTGAACGATCGGAAATGGTTTTTGGTAGAAATACCAACTTTGGTACTTTTGAACATAGAAGTTTGGGACTTTTTTTTTTAGGTTTTTTATTGTAGTTTATTGGTTTTATTATGATTTAATCATAAGAATCGGTTTGCGATATATATCCGGTTTTAACTGCAAGGGTATATCAACTTCGGCTCCGCCCGAAGTTAGCTTTCCTTTCTTGTTATCACTCATTCTTGTCACAGAAGGCCACTATTGCGGAGCCATTACATAGACTTTTAGACAAGAACGCACAATGGACATGGCATCCGGAGCACCAAAAAGCATTTGCAGAACTAAAGAATTTGATCGCATCGGATGCAGTCCTAATTCATTACTCTCCGGACCGCCCACTGAACTTAACTTGCAATGCGTCACCATACGGGTTAGGACTCCTAACCCAAGTTAGCGTAGAGCGCGCCTTTTCTGCGCTTAAAATAATGCTAACCGACCAAAAGTGCAACTTGTCGAGCGTTTCGCTGTCAAAATTGTTATTCCTAAAATTTTAATAAAAATTATAAAAATACATAAAATTCATATTATGTCATAAATGCACAATAAATTGAAAATTAATGTTCCTAATTGTTTTACTGGTTGATCATTATGATGATTATCATTATCATTATTATCATTGTTTTGGTAATTGTGTATATCTGCTGCTGCTGCTCTGTATGTTACAGTTGACCTTATATTAAATAATTGCAACAAACACAAGTAAAATGCATTTTTTTGTTGTTGTTGTTAATTATTGCTCTAGGGTCCCTTTATAAGGACATAAGACAATATTGGAAATATCCTTAAAGGATCAAAAGTTATTGCTTGGTGAGTTTTATTTTTGATCGAAAAAAATAAAAATCACGAATAATCATTATTTTTGAGTTTTATTTTTTTTGTTCAAGCTTAATGATTATTTGTGATTTTTATTTTTTTCGATCAAAAATAATTATTAGTCTTGATTTAAAAAATTAAAAATCGTTGAGTAATCATTACAAAGTAATTTTAAATATATTACTTATAATGATTACGGTCCCTGGTTAGGAGCAGTACTAAGCCACGAAATGGAAGACGGGACACAGAAACCGATTGCGTTTTACTCTCGCACGCTGTCAAAGGCAGAGAGAAACTACTCGCAGATCAACAGAGAAGCGGTAGCGTTAGTCGCAGGTGTCAAAAAATTTCATAAATATTGGAAGGAAGTTTACGCTTATAACAGATCATCTGCTGGGAATCTTTTTGACAGAAAAGCCAATCCCTCAAATCATTTCCAACCCGATTATGCGTCGAGCAATATTTTTGATAGCGTATAAATTCAAGTTAATTCATCAGCCTGGAACAAAAATAAGTAATGCAGATTTCTTAAGCCGCTGCCCAACGTCAGATATACATCATGAGCCTCGAACAGAAGAAGTTTTCATGATCGAATGGGCAATTTTTCCCACTGTCACCGCGAACACCCTAGCTACCAACCCGTCTAAGGATTGCAGCCTCAGTCTTGAGGGCGATTGCGCAGTCCTTCGCAGCAGCCATCACTAGAGGAGACAGCATCACCAAATTGCTGTTCCACGCCAACCCCATCTGAAGCGGTAGCTGGCCAATTTACAATTCCAGCTGGGCCACAGCGTTTGCCTGAGCTAAACGGGACTGGGGGACCGCCACGCAGATCGGCCCGTGACCGTCGTCGCCCACAGTTCTACGATCCGTCTGGGTGTTAAGGGGTGTAATGTATGCGACTGCATTCTCTCGCGCAGCGATCTCGCTTTACTGAAATCTCCAGCTTCAGGTGGTCCACAGCGCTCGCCTGAGCCAATCGAGACTGGAGGATCGCCGCGCAGATATGCCCGTGACCGTCGCTGCACTTCTACGATCCGTTTGGGTGTTAAGGGGTGTTATGTATGCGACTGGATTCTCTCGCGCAGCGATCTCGCTTAACTGAAGTCAGTCTTCACTCAATCGTAAGCCCATGCAGATCGAACTGCAGTCACAAGCAATTCATTAATTCCCCGTCATATTAATCAACCCCTGCACCATTTGCTACTCCTATTCCTCACTATTGTATTACTTACTTACTTATTTGGTAGAAACCAAGAAATTTTGGTACTTATGAAGATAGAAGCTTGTGACTTTCTTTAGATTTTTTATTGTAATCAATTGGTTATATTATGATATTCTCATAAGTATCGACCAACTATATTCGATGTTTGCGATATATCCGGTTTTAACTGCAAGGATATATCGCCCGAAGTTAGCTTTCCTTTCTTGTTTTATTATAAAATTCTCAAAAGGATCGGCCCACTTTATCCGATTTTTGCGATATATATCCGAACTGTAAGGGTAGATTAAATTCGGCTCCGCCCGAAGCTTAATTTCCTCTCTTGTTTTTTAATGTTTATTGATCATTTTTAATTTTTCACTCAGAAAATAATGATTTGTTTTAATTTTTTTTTTGCTCAAAGAATAATGATTATTATAAGTCATTAACAATTATTTTAAAATAGTAATCATAACAATAATGATTATAAATAATTTACTTTATTTAATTTATTTTTAGGACTATCTTCTTATTGCACTGCGTTCAGGCATTGGAATGATTTCTTTAAATTCTGGCGATTACATGGATGTGGTTTTACCAATAAATGGAGTTCATGGAGCCGTCGTACTTGACTACCACTACCGTAAAAATATGCTTTTTTTTGCCGATGTCAATTTAGATGTCATTCGAAAGGTCAATTTATTGAATTTAACTGAAAGCAAGGTAATCATAAGTACTGACGTGCTTACACCTAATGGAATTTCCGTCGACTGGGTTGCAGACAATATATACTGGTCCGATACAGATCGAAAACTAATCGAAGTAGCACGACTCGATGGACGTTTTCGTAAACGACTAATAGAAGATGATTTGGGCGACCCAAGATCACTTATTGTATATCCAAAGAAAGGGTATTTGTTTTGGTCTGATTGGAACTCGCCTTCGAAAATAGAACGCAGTTTTTTGGATGGATCCAACCGAACAATAATCGTTACTTCTGGAATAGGGTTTCCAACTGGTCTCACAATTGATTTTGAGTAAGTTTAAATGGTAGCAAAACATAGCTTTAACACTTTTTTACTTGTTTTGGGCAGAAACCGTAGATTACTTTGGGCCGATGCCTTAGAGGATAACATTGGTCAAGTGGATTTTAACGGAAGACGCCGCATGACCATTGTGCCATATGCACCTCATCCTTTTGGTCTTACCTTGGTAAATAATAAATTTCTAATAAAATGAAAGATTTAATTAAGAATCTATACATATTCTAGTTCGAAAACAACTTGTTTTGGACAGATTGGTACAATAAGTCTGTATACCGCTCACAGCGCTTGCCACGTAATGGATATGGAAATCCATTAGAGGTGCGTGATGCCCTTAATGGGGCATTAGACATACGAGCCGTTTCATTTAGTCGCCAGCCTAATATTGTAAATTTCTGCTCTCATGATAATGGCGGGTGCTCCCATCTTTGCTTACATCGAGGATTGGATTACGTATGCGCTTGTCCCGACAAGATCGACCCAGACGACATGGAATGTTCATTGAGACCAAAATTTCTTGTGAATGAACGTTTGGAAAACCATCAGATGGCCGAATACTCAGATGAGTCGCCCGATGATGCAACTCCAGCTGTACATGAAAAAAATTTAAAAAAAAACGATGACCATACGAAGCACTCTGACACTCAACGGGAATTCTTACTATTAGTGGCACTAGGCGTGGTTATTGTCATGGTTTTCATTGTTATTCTTGTCATTTTTAGTAAGAGCTTACATCATAGTAGTTTTTTTTTACATTTAAAAATGAAAATATATTTCCAGTGCTTGCCTTTACAACCAAAAACAAAACAACACGCAATTCACGCGAATCCAGCCGATCTGTTTTAACTTTTTCAAATCCGAATTACAACATAGATGGTACACCAATGGAACCAAAAACAAATATATGGAAGAGATTTAAATATGAAAAGCCACATGTAAGATTAAATGTTTATTATGTTTGTATCTACATTTTTTCTTAATTCCCGATTAAAAATAAAATAATTTGAATTTTGATTTTATAATTTTGTTTTTTTTAATTATTAAGATTGAGTTATTTATAAAGGTAAAGAATATCTGTACATATGTCACGCGCACATCTTTTATTTAACCAAATATTTGTCTTGCCGGGAACCTCTGTGTTGATATGATAAAATTAGGATTTTAATTAAAAATAAATACATTTTTTTGTATGTTATTCTAATCTTTATACACGAATCCGTTGCATTATGTGCATGAATGTGAGGAGAGTTGTTAGCTCCACTCATTTTTATTATAAATAGTTATGTAGTATTTGTTATGTGTATTGAATATTATAAGTTCTGGTTTCTTATATTTTTAAAATTAACATCTTCTTGTCTGCTGCTGCCTCTCGTCGTTTTTTCAGCTGAGTTCTTTTTACTGCCGCTGCTTATTTGATACTGCCCTACCGACGCTTTTTTTAAGTTGCCATACTGCTGACCTTCAATACTGCTGATCTGCTGATATTCATACCGCTGCCATACTTCTGATTTTTATACTGCTTATATACTGCTGCTTTCTTACTGGTATACTGCTGCTGTTGTATACATCTTCCACTGTCTTACATTCGGCCATTCCTGACTAGTCATCTGTCCCAAATGACCAAGCCTCTTCAATATCCTTAGCATAACGCCACAACTTTATGTAATCATAGCTGGTTAAAGTGTTCATGTAACACTTTAACCAGCTATGATCACATAAAGTGATGGTCCATGGACCTTCTACATCCGCTACCTTCCGAACTTCGTATCTGCCGTTCCTGTTGCCTTTTGATATTTCATACGGTCCCAGATATTCTCCAGCCAGCTTTTTGCCTGCAATAAACTGTGTTCGACGTGTAGCGACTAAGTCTCCAACTTTATAATTGACTTCTGGTTTACGATTTAGGTCGTAATTCTTTTTGTAGTAATCCTGTGCACGGTAATTTCGATCTTTGCATCTTTTCTAAGTTGCTGCCGTTGCTCGTCAAAGTTTGAATTGGTTTATTGTTCGTCTTCACACCAAACATTAGCTCAAATGGTGACTTCTTAGTAGACGCATGTACGTGGGAATTAACTGCTCTCTGCACCTCAGGTACTGCCTTAAACCACTTGGCTGGATCATCTTCCGAAATCTTAGAAATAATCGAAAAGATCGTGCGATTCACCCTTTTGATATGACCATTTCCGCGGGGAATTCCAGTTGGGCTCAAAACGTGTTCAATACCGTTTTCCTTCAGGTGATCCGCAAACAAGTTGGCTGTGAAAGCAGAACCTCTGTCCGAAGCCATCCGTACTGGGTTGCCAAAAATGTCGGACCAAGTCTGAATCTTTTTCAGCGGTTCCTTGCAGCTTGCAGTCTTCGTAGGAAAATGCCATATAAACTTTGTGAATGAGTCCACCATCGCAAATATGTATTTATATTGTTTTCCAGTGGCATCCGTGGGACCCAGATAATCAGCGTGTGAAGGGGTTGATCACCTTTATCGATGCAGTTTAAAAACCCTTCTTTCTTGCCAAGTTTCTTGTTGAAAATGCATCTAACACAATTTTTCACCACCTGCTGAACTTTTTGCTCCAAATGAGGAATCCAATAGGATGGTTGAATAGTATGTAGAGTTTTTTGTAATGCAAAGTGGCCTGCATTGTGAGCGTCAACAATCACTTCTTTTTCCATCGCTTTCGGGATTACGAGGAGATCGTTACCGTTCACCTCCTTATAGACAAGTAAAGCTTTTATCTTGTACCCCTCATATGGACGGCTTTTGAGAATTTCCGCAATTGCCCTCAGCATCTCATCTTTTCTTTGAGCGTTTTTGATGCATGCTGTGATCTCTAAGGAGACAAGCATAACACGATCGGGATAGCGACTTAGGCAGTCAACATGCTTTAATCGTTCTCCAGGACAATGTTCGACTGTGAAATCGAAATCTTGTAGATAAACAATCCACTGCGTGACTGCTCTTCGTACATCCGCCTTCTGTAGAGTTTGTTTAAAAACGGTACAATCCGTTATCAGCTTAAACGACGATCCCAGCAGATAATGAATTTTTTACCGCTATATACACGGCTTTGGCTTCCATGATATAACTGTGCTAGCGGGACTCAGCTCCTGTTGTCTTCTTGCTCCAATACTGGATAGGGTGGAGTTTGTTATCGAACCACATTAATACATGGCATTAATACCGCTGACAATCCGTCTTTTGTTGTGTCTGTGTGTAACTCAGTCTTAGCTTCTCTGCTGTAAACTTTCAAAACAGGTTCCTTTGTCAACGCATCCTTCTGGACCGCGTTCATCTGAGGCTCAGCCATTTGAAAACGAACATCTTTGCGCAGCAGGTCAGTTAACGGGCATAATCTGCGAATAATTCAGGACGAATTTTGTGAAAAATCCCGTCAGCCCCAGAAAAGCTTGGACTGCTCTGACGTTTTTCGGCACCGAAAATTTGCTGACCGCTGCAGTCTTTTCCTGCCCAGGCCACAGGTTTCCGTCTTCAATTTTGTGACACAAGAAGTGAATTCTTTTCTGCAAGAAGAGACATTTTCGCCACCTTATCTTCAGGCCAAACCCCCCAGCTCTTTTGAAGACGAGTGCCATGTTTTGCAAACATTTCTCTGTAGTCTCGACGTGAATTATTATATCATCCATGTATAAATGGAGTATGTCCTTGTTCGTCAGCTCCTGAAATACGTAATTTAGATAGCGAATAATACAGCTGGCGAGTTCCGAAATCCAAACGGTGTTCTATTGAATTCGTACAATCCGGTGTTTGTACGATGTTTGTACAACAATTATGAACGCTGTAAATTTCTTGCTCTCTTCCTCAATGGCAAGGTGAAAGAAACCATTCTCCAAGTCCGTCACGGTAAAGTATCGCGCTTTTTGCAGCTTTTCGAGTACTTTCTCTATAACAGGGACGGGAAAGCAATCTCTCAACACCATCGAGTTCAGCTTACGAAAATCAACGCAAACGGCGTGTGCCATCCTTTTTGTTTACCAGCACCAGACGGGTAACAAAGTTTGATGTAGATGGGCGTATAGATAGCCAGCAGATAGCCATTCTTCGATCTGCGGTTCGACATCCTTCTGTTCGGAAATCGCAAATCGATTCGGAAATTGACGAAATGGGATTATCTCACCATCTGAAACAATTCGCAGCTTTACTGGAACCTCTGATACTGAATCCACCGCCTTGTAGTTCTTGATCAGCATCGATACTTCCTTTTTATTTGGGGGAACATCAATTTCATAATTTGTATTAATAATACTATAAATACTCATTCATTCTGTTCCTCATAAGCTTTCTCCCCATGCGGTGGAGAAACTTGTTTCCCTCTTGTTTGCTCCAAATGGCAAACTGCGAAAATGCCTGTTTCAGGCCAGCAACTATGGTCCCAGTAGAAACGCATCAACCGATTTCAATGGAAGTTCATTTATTACTAGTTTCTATATGCTCCTTCTATTCTTTCCTTCGAAACTGCGACGCAGTGAGTAACAAGAACGAGTACTTAACAGAGCGATAATATCTTTAGGCGGTACAATTCAAATATTTCTCATAAGTATGGGAGTAAGGAACACACGTAGATATCTTGCAGCTTGGGCTCGTTGGGGGTATTTTATTTGCTCGTAGCTTGTTATGCCCCGTCTCAGTAGCCCAAGTTGCGAGTTCTACGTATTTCCCTCACATATTAATTTTTAAACAAGTTACGACTAAACACGGCCGCGTTGAATGGCCGAAGGGCTTCAATTTTAAGGTAATGGTGCTAGTCTATGGACAGCACGTTTGTAGATTCCATTTTTAGTTTTTACGAGGGCCACTCGGACCCTTCTATCAGCACCTGTAATCGTTTCAGTGATGATGCCCAAAACCCATGTCTAAGGTGGCAGATTGTCCTCCTGAATTGCGACAACGGTTCCAGCAGTTACGTTTGGCGACTCCTTATTCCATTTCACGCGTTGTTGTAAGCTTAACAAGTAGTCTCGTGACCAATCCTGCCAAAAGCGTTGTTTTATCGCAGACACCAAATTCCAGCGCTGAAGAAACGATAAATTCGGTTCCACATTTGCCTGAGCAGATGCTGGACGCAAGGTCGCCAAGCTGGTCCCGACGAGGAGGTGCCCAGGGGTTATAGCTTCACCATCGTTTGGGCTTGAGCCGTCAGCGATAATCGGCCGCGAATTCAGAACTGCTTCAACTTCTACGATCACCGTCTGGAGCTCGTCTTCCTTTAGTAACGCGCTACCCACAGCTCGGAGAAACAAGTGTTTAGCCGATTTAACGGCCGCCTCCCAAAGCCCTCCAAAATGTGGGGCTCTGGGAGGGATGAAGATAAATTCGAATCGACGAGGTGCTCCAAATGCTGTCATAGCGTCCTTATGGGTTTCCAATTTGCTCATTAGGTCATGTACGATGCGAGACGAGCCCAAGAAATTCGTGGCATTATCGCAATACAATTTCTCGATGGGTCCACGTCTTCCGACAAATCTAGATAAGCACAAATTGAATGTATTAGCGGTGAGATCTTTTACAAGTTCAAGATGAACGGCTTTTGACAGGAAGAAAATGAATATCGATACATACATCTTGATTGGAGGCTTGCCACGAATTCCTAGCGATACCCGAATCGGCCCAAATAAGTCAACTCCACTAATTGCAAACGGCCTTGTTCCTATCAAACGGTCGGCTGGTAAATTACCCATTATTTGTGAAGCTAATTTTGGCTTGTATCGAAAGCAATGTACACATTGTCGTACGCCCGCGCTACATTTGCGCCTAACATTTATGAGCCATATTGTTTGGCGAATAAGACCAACCAATGCTCTGGGTCCTGCATGACAGTTTCTATGCAGATGTTGAATGTATCAACTCACGAATCTGTTGCCCTTTGGCATAAGAAGCGGAAACTTTACGCTGTAGCTTAACTGTGCACTGAACAAT